GAATTTGAGGCTTTTTATGGAACAGCATCAAAATAAAACCATCACCTTTTCCACACAAAATGTGAACCAGCCCAGGCTGTGTTTGCCTTGCACATCAGGACCTTAGCCCCGCCGTTCCCCAGCAAGCACTGACCCACACCCCTAATTTTAAACCCAACAGCTTTGCTCGCTTTCTTACCTGTCTGCAACGCTTCTCCCCAGACGATCACATACCAGGCCATCCTGACCACCGACGGCTTCAGGTCCTATGTCCTGATGCTGTACCAGGAGGGAGGCATGCAATGGGATTACACCAGACTCGCTGCCACCAACGTGCTCATTGGCTACACCAGGTACAGCAGGCTCAGCACCCTGCCCCCTCCGAGCACTGGGCTGCGTCCCACCCTTGGCTCCGGCTGGTTTAATCCTTCCCCCCATGTCCCATGAAGTGCCCTGCAAGGATGAGGGCAGCCCAGATGGGGTCTGCACACCCATATAGCCTAACATATGGGGGTCTCACAACCAAATCTGCCCCATTAGTGGCCGGATCATGCTGCAGCACGCTGACTTGTCGGGCTGTGCTTGTTGTAAGATCCACGCATCCCTCTGTGGTCCCGGGCATGCAGCATCCTGGTGGTTTGGGTGGAAGGAGTGGGGAATAGGGGATGTTTGCTGAACTTTGCACCAGTTGAGTGAAGGGATTTCCGCCGCTTGGCTGGAGCAGTCGCTTCCTGCCTCCTCGCATTACATCTCGCCCTGTGCACACCATCTCCAGGGTTTGCTCATTAGCTGCTTGCTGCAGCTGGGTAAGGAAAAGGTGGCCGGAATGGGAAGTGCGGGCGGCACAGGCGTGTGTGTGTGCTTGCCTGTGCATGACCGCTTGTGGGTTTCCGCTCCGTATCACCCTGCAAGATGCTGGAAACCATGGAAGCTGCTTGCAGGAGTCTTGAGATGTCCGTGGGTTCAGCCCATGATGCAGCAGGAGTGCTTGCAGCACCCAGAACTAACCGCACCCTGTAGAGAGGAGGCAGTGGGCTGGGGGAGCTGGTACCTTTGCCCTCCTGTCACCGGAGCTGTGATTTGGGTGCTGTGGGGTCCTGCCAGCTCAGGATCAGGGTGGCTGAAGGGCAGGCTGGGCCTGGGGCTGGGGCTGGGATAATCCCACCCAGGAAGAGCAGCCCCTGATTTTTCCCCTTTCCTCTGCACGCAGCGGGGATGGCTTTTACCGCAATGACGACCTGACTCAGAGACCTCCAGCCGCTAAATATCGTCCTGACCAGTTCAGGGGCTACAACACAGGTAGTGCCACACAGCCGGGGCAGGTTCACACAGCCCCTCGGGGGGTTGGGGAAGGGCTGCGCGGGGAGGGGGATGTTCCCAGGGGATGAAATCCACCCTGCCACAGTGGCAAGGCTCTCGCTGAGTTCACCGAGGCCAGGCTTTTCCCCCAAACACATAAAATGCTTCCCCTGGGTACCAGCTATGCTCTGAGGCTGAAACGTCCTTGATGTGTCTATGGACCATTTTGTTGCAATGGCTCTGTCCCAAGGCTTTCTTCTTTGGCAACAGCCTCTCCCCCTGTTTCCCTGCCTTTGGGCGGCTGTTAAGCATGGGGTCCCATGGCTGGGGGTCAACACGGGCTTAGCTTCCAGCACCAGCATCACTCGGCTCTCGCCTCAAGCCGAAACTGCCCCTGCGGTCCCCTTGGCCAGAGGTGGCAACTCATGGTTTCTCTCCCCACTCAGACCTCCGCGGGCTGTGGATTTACAAGCTGGAGAGCCGTGTGGGCGTCAACTACCGGCTGAAGTGCCTGGCGTGGACAGGGCGGCAGCAGGAGCCGCGGGCGTGGAGCCAGGGCCTGCCCGCCTGCCCCTGCTCCCTGCAGCAAGGGCAGCAGGACCCCCGCTTCAAGAGCAGCCGGGGAGGCAAGTGGACACGCCGCTTCCCCACCCTCCTCGTCCCCCAGCTGTCCCTCCCCATTTCCCCTGCAAGGGTGGCTGGGGTCCCTCCTGACCGGGCAGGCAGGGGACCACAAGGAAAATGAGGCGGGGGCTGCCCTTCCCTGCAGAGACAGGGAAAATGGGGAGGAATGAGGGCTGACCTGTCCCTGTCTTGTTAGACTGGACGGAGCTGTCTAAGCTGCACGGGGACAGCGGGGATGGACCCTCCCCAGCACCAGGGTCTCACCTTGGGGGACCACTTGGATGGTCTCCATCAGTCTCTCCAAATGGCCTGTAGCACCATGGGTGATGTGGTGGGAGTGATGGATAACGAGGAGCCAACCCCGGCCCCGCTCGTTGCCCTGGAGCAGGGATGCTGGCTGGGAAGAGCTGTACCAGGGCAGGGATGCTGGCAGGGGGGAGCTGTGCTGAGGCTTATTGCTGCCCCATTGCAGGCTGGTGGGCTGCCCGTGTCTCCATGCTGCACTCCGCCTCCCCCAACCAGCACGGCGCCGGCGTCCGCTGCCTGTACAACAGCCAGAGCCAGCTCATCGAGGGGCGGCAGGAGAGGTATTGGAGGTCCTCCAGGCAGGCATCCCCCTACCGCGGTAAGCACAGCCAGCCCTGGCATCCCCCAGCTGAGGCTGGCATCGCTGTAGCCCTGTAAATCATTTTAATCTCCATGTTAACTTATTTCCTGACATGCTGTTGCCCTTGGTGGGACTGTGGACCGGCCAAAAGCCGAGGCGAGCGCCCTGCCTGCCCAGAACCAGCCCATATCCCTCTCCTCTCCCCTTCAGCCCCTTACTCTAATTTTTGTCTCCAGACCAGGAGCTGAAGTTGTACGATTGGTGCTGTAACCAGGTGGGCAGTGCCCGCCTCTGCACCCGCTACAGTGAGAAGAGACCAAAGATCGGCTGTGATGGATACCAGTCACCCGGCACAGGTGGGTTTGCAGCCCGTGTGTGCCAGGGCAATGCTGTCTTGGTGCCCAGGGCTGGGAGGGGAACATCCCAGCCACCCTGTGGTTAATGCAGCAAGAGCCCCGGGCAGACAAGAGATGGGTTTTGGGGTGCCCACGTGCAGGTTGTGCTGTGCCCTGGGTTGGGGGGGGACGGACACACTTCCCTTAGCACATAACCACTGGCGTAATCTGGGTGTGACAGCACCAGGAGGGGAGGAGGACCGCAGCTAACATGGTGATTGGTGTGAGTTGATCTGGGGCTTTCTTGCAACCCCCACCAGGTTCCTCGGAGGAGGCAGAGAGCGACTCAGAGGAGCAGAGAGGTGAGCGGGCTCGGGGGTCTCCTCTCTACCGGCTGCTTCCTGCTGCCCCCCATCCCCGCCACGTGGAAACTCCCCTGGGGCTCCTGGCTCACCCGAGGCCCCTGGGGAGGAGGTGGCCGGGCAATCCTCATTTCTTCTTTGCAGATGGAGAGGACAAGTAACCGAGGGGTTGCACGTCTGCAACATGGTCCAGGCCACGGCTGATCCTCCAAGTCCTTTTCTCCTGCTCATCCCCTGTGTCCTCCTGCGTCCCCCTGCTCTCTCCATCACCCATCACCCCTGCCCACAGTACAGGGCGGCTCACTCAGCTGGTGCCTGTGGTTGCCTTCACTGGCACAAGTTCATTTTTCTAACCCAGACTTGTCCCGAGAAGTTGGCTGCTTTAGTCGCCCTTCCCCAGCTGCAGCTGAGCGGGTGCCTGCAGGCACCTCCTTGCTGGCGGGGAGGTGGGCAGGTATCCCCCACCGCATACGCCACCCCCTGTCCTCCCTGCATCGCGCTGTGCCTCCCACGCTGCGGGGTGAGGTTGGCCCCCTGGCACCCGGGGAAAGGGTTTTTGCGCCTTGTGTGGGTTGACTGTGGCCAAGCCCCCGAGTGCCGTGGTGTGCCAGGCTCACCCCGTGGGCCGTTCCTGTCTTGTCCCACTTCTGTCCCCCAGCCATCCCTCCCCGGGTGGTCCCCAGGCCCTATGCCCGGAAGGGGCGATTCTCCGGATCAAGCCTGAGTCTGCTTGATGCCTCTGCTGGGTGTGCGAGGGCAAAATGCAATCCCACGATCAGAAATGTCGGAAGAACAATAATTTTTTGTGTACGTAAGAGAGCATCTGCCTTTCTTAAAAAAAATAATAAATCCTTGTCAAATTTTGTTTGGTCAATAAAGCCTCTGAGGGGTCTGAGCATCACTGATCCTGCAGCAGCCACGTCCTCTGCTGAACCGGGTTGGGAGGTGGCGGGGGGGGCAGGCTGGGGACAGCGGTGTTGCAGGATGCTGCTGCCCTCCGAGCTGGCGCTGGGGATATGAGTGTCTGGGCTGGGGCTGAGGTGGGCTCTGGGGCAGCGGGGCTGGACCTGGGCTCCGCCGGGGTCTGACACACCCTCCTTGGGTGCAGCATCTTTCCTCAGCAGAGGCAAAGAGCCGCGGGGCGTTTGCGGGGACAGCAGCCCAACCTGTGTGATCTGAGCCACTGTGAGCAGTGCCTGAGGAAAGCAGTGAGGGACACTTGCAGCTTTGCAGGGGGAATAAAGGGATGGAGCAACAAAAAAAGCTACATCCATCTTCTCTTTGGCCCTGTGGGTGGGACCAGCAGAAAGCAGGGACTCGAGAGCTTGGTGACAAGGAAGCAGGGCTGGTGCATGGACACCGCAGGGTGCAGGCAACTTACTCAGCAGCTTGTCATCATTTTTGCTTTATTCTATTTTGTTCCTAATGGGTTATAATCACTGTATTGCCCCACCTGAGTCTGCTATCAGCGGCTCTGCTGGGTCCAGTTACATTGCACCAGTGCAGACCCGGTGCAGACACACTCAGGGACTATCCCGGTTGCCTCTGCAGGTCCTCAGGGGAAGGTGAAATCCTCTCACTTTGGCCACCCAACAAAACCACATTTTTCATTCAAAAAAAGCACCTCCTCCAGAGTGGATCCTCCCACAAAGACCAGACCCCAAAAGGCAGCTGCCTGTCATCTGCCTCCACATGGGTGCCATTGCCGGAGACCCCGACAGTGGGCGGCGGGGCCAGCAGCAGTGGCTGGCTCCTCCGTGAGCCCGGAGGCGCCGGGGCAGGACCACTGGCAGGCTAGGGCTGCTGGGGACGCTGGCTCAGAGGCCTGACGTGGGGTCTCTGGATCCTTATCTGTAAAGGAGGGACAGGCCACGCCGTGCTGTCAGCGCTGCACGGGCTCTGCTCTTCGCGACGAGCTCGGACAGCGGCGCAGACCCCAACGCAAGCCAAAGCATCCGTGATGCTTCGGGACGAGGCATGGCTCCCAAGCATGTTTGAGGCACGGGGCCAGGACATCAGTCCCCAGCCCACGGTCCCCAACCCTGACCACCCACGGGGACAATAACACCCAGGCAGACCTGGACTGAGGGGTCGATGGCCTGGAGCTGCGGTTCCCAATGCCTTTCTGGGGAGTGGGAATGGGCAGACTCTGCCCGCTCTCCTGCCATCATCAGAGCTGGAGCAGGGAAGATGAGCAGACCTTGAAGACGATCAGAGTGAAGCAGAGCTGGGGTCAGGGGGTTTTGCAGGGATGTACTCACAGGAGAAGGGCTGTGGCCTCCAGAAGGTCTCCTTGGTCCTAGGAGGGGGGGAGCAGAAAGGGGACGACATGTTGGGGGGGCCGGGAGAGCCCCTGCCCGGTCCTCGTGCCTGGGTTGGATGCAAGTGGGGAGCAGTGACTGAGTGTGGGGGCAAGATGAGGCTACGAGAGGAAAAAAAGCCCCAGTTGCTGTCCACACGCAATTTCTCGCCTTTCCACAAGTGCAAATGAACAGAGGAGCTTCCCAGAGAGCCCCGGCTCCAGGGCTGGCAGGGAGCCGGCCACAGGGGCAGGACACAGCTCCGACCGGCGCGGGGGGCTCGGGGCACTGAGCTTCCCCTGAGCGTGGATGCCACACTGGGACCAAGGGCTGGGGAGGAGGGAGGGAGATGCTGGCGCTTCCACCCTAGCCTTGCACCTCATCATCCATCTGCTAACTCCCTGCTCTGCAGGACAGCAAGGTCCAATCCTGCAACAGCCTTTTTCTTGCTCTATATCAACTCTTTCCAGAGAAATGTGAACTGCAGTGGAAATCATTTGGATGGTATTCAAATTAAAATTAAATAGAAAGCCTGTCTGTAACCGAACACTGGGTGAGATGAGGAAGAAATGCAAATATTCCCTGACATGGAGGAAAAGGGAAGGTAATGTTCAATCCACTGATGTTATTGCACCCCTGAGCAGCAGATGACTGGGGAAGGGGCTAGAAGATGCTAAAATACCACCCGGCTCAGCCCGTTCCCCAGGGCAGGCTCCCCCTGCCCGGGCCAGATGGGTCCCGCTAGTGGCGGACCTTCCAGAGATGGATTTTTCACCAGTTTTTCGGGCTGGTAAAGCTCTTCCTAACACACAACCTCCATTCCCTGCCACATTCGCAGCACCCACCCCTGTGCAGGTCCAGCCCATGGCTCACCCCCGGTGGCGGTGCCGGCGGCAGAGGCGCAAGGCCAGGCAGGCGGTGGTGAGCAGGAGGCAGAGCAGGGCCAGGGCTCCCACCAAGATGCCTAGGAAGGCGGCGAGGCTGACAGCCAGTTGCTCGCACTGGGCGCCGGCGGGGGAGAAGATGGAGAAGGGGAGGCAGCTGCAGATGGGGAGGAAGGAGCAGTGATGCCATGGGGAGATGCAGCCGTGCCTGGTGGCCTTGTCCATCCCCAGCACCGCTGCTACCTGCACGTGGGCCCCTCAGGCAGGTGCTGGCACCGGCCACCATGCTGGCAGTAGCCCATCTTGCAAGGGGAGATGCAGACGAAGCCGACGGTCCCCGCATAGTGGAGCCGGTAGCCTTTGTAGCCGTACAGACCGCAGGGGAAATAGTGCCTCAGCTCAGCCACTGTCACTGGGGAGACACGGCACAGGTTCGGCCACGTGGCAGCATCACCCCTTGATGCTTCCCCAGGTCTCCCTGAGCTGGATCCGCGCCTGGGGTGGGGACTGCCGCCCACCCACCTCCCCCGTGGGTGTTACCCAAACCCCAGGGCATGCAGGGTGATGGGGACAATGGGGACAGCGGGGTGCTCCTCTCGAGCTCCCTGGCTCGGCGCTGGGAGCAACTCACGCTTCACCAGGTCGGTGATGTTGTCCCGGTGCAGGCGCTGGAAGAGGAGGCGCCCGCCCGCCTCCCGCCGCCCCCGCCGCCCGTTGAAGGCGCCAGTGATGGCCCCTGGCAGCTCCTCGTTCAGGAACCGGATGACGGTGCCGCGACTGTCGTAGGCAAACTCAGACACCACCGCGAAGGTGAAGCCATCGCTGTCTGTCCTGCAGGGAAAGGACAGGGCTGCTGGCAGAGCCGCTGCTGCACCACAGAGTGACTGAGCCTCACCGTGCCTCAGTTTCCCCATTTCGGGGATGGTAAAGAAGGGATGAGGCAGGAGATGGAACGTGCTGTGGGGCTTGTGTCTCCAAGGGTTTATCAGCATCAGGGCTGGAAAAACAGACTCTGGGATGGGGGACAATGCCCTTTGTGTCCCAAACCCTGTGGCCTCATGCCCAGCCCTGCCATGCTGGCTCCCTGGGGTGGGCAAGGGGCCATGCCACAGCACACTCACGTCTGGGTGATGTTGGTGTTGCTCTGGAAAGCCTTTACCTCGAGGGAGCCCAGGATGGCCGAGACCTGTGGTGGGGGGAGCAGGAGGGCGTTAGGGGAGGGCAGGACAGCACCAGCGCGGGGAGAGGCTGAAGGGCAACGCAGGCATGGTGGCTAAGCCCCAAGGGTTGCTCTGGCCTTTCGTTCACGCACTGGGGACCTGGCACATAGCCACGGCCACAGCCAGCACCACGTGGCTGGCGCTGCCTCCCTCCAGCCCTGCGGATCCGCTGGATCCCTGGGGATCCCGCAGGAGGGGGGTGCACGGAGGCATGGGCACCCCAAGCTGCCATGCTGCCTGGCGTGCCAGTGCATCCCCCTCCCCAAGCCCATCCCCTCCAGCGACATACGGTGCCATTGATTTCCCCGGCCGTGGCGTTTCGCAGCGTCCTGACCTGCAGACGGATGCTTCTCCGGGGGAGATCTGCCAGGGGGAAGCCACAGCAGTGGCTCTGGCATCCCAGGACTGGGGTGAGCGGGGTTGGGGTTCACCTCCCACTGGGCACAGGCACCCACCTGTGCTTGGCAGCGGCTGAAAATCCCCCCCTGCCACCAGGCAGCGCTGGTCGGTGAAAGCCGGGGGGCAGGCGCAGGAGGGGGTGCAGGTGATGGGGTGCAGGTGGCAGCGTCCCCCGTTGCTGCAGTAGCCTTCGGGGCAGGAGTGGGAGCCACAGGCTAAGCCACAGCCTGGCCCCTCGCCTGTGGGACAGGGAGCCCAGGTCAGATGGAGGCACAAGCCTGGCTGCAGGGGCAGAGCCCCAGCACACTGATCCATCCTCAGTCTCTCTGTAATGCCTCTCTTCCAAGTTTTCGGGTTTTTTTTATGCATTAGGACTTTTAGTATAAATTCAGATCCTCAAGGAAAAGCCCTGCATCCCCTCCTCCCAGCTGGAACCTTTTGCCCTTGTGAAATCCCAGCCTGCTGCATTAGAACAGGAGCAAAAACCATCACCCCAACCCCACCACAGTCATCTGAAAACAGGATTTGGTTTTAGCCCCCAACCCTCCGCATCTGCATTTGAACTTTGATGGGATGAGACTTTTTTTTTCTCAAAGAGAAAAATTGCACAGGAGAAGTTTCCCTTCCCGGTGAATTAGTGAGATCTGCAGCCTGGGAGCACAAGGGGCAGCTGGACTCTGGTCCCTTCTGTTAAGGACAGCAAGGGCTTGGGTACAGAGCTCAGCCAGCTCCCTCTCCTCTCCTCTCCTCTCCTCTCCTCTCCGGCCAGTTTGGGTCCCACGGGAACCCTCTTCCACTGAGGCCCAGGGGGTGATAGGAATGAGGACCACGCCTGCCAGGGTGCCTGTACTCACCCTCCTCGCCGGCCGGGCAGGAGCAGGTGTAGCTTCCCACCGTGTTAGTGCAGGTGGTGTTCTCTGGGCACGCCGTCCCCTGCGTGCACTCGTCGATATCTGCCAAGGCAATGCAGCATGGCACCAGGAGAAATACCTCGGCCGGGGTCCTGCGGGTGCCCCGGGTTCCCAGTGGCCATGGCAAGCCCTCGTCACCTGAGCAGTGCCGCCCGTCGCCGGTCAGGCCGGCCGGGCAGGGGCCGCAGCCGGCGTGCGAGTCGCAGCTCACGCCGGGGAAGCATCCCTGGGCGCAGGGGTCCGGAGGGTCCTGGCAGAAGGGACCCGAGTAGCCGCCCTCGCACCTGCAGGCTGCCAGCTGGGAAGGGGATGGTGACACTGGCTTAGGGGACACGAGGAGGATGGGTGGACAGAGAAGACAGCTGGCATGGCTGGCATGGGGACAGGCATGGTGTGGCACTGGAGGAGCTTTCCGGCACACTACCTGCAGGGAGGACCCCCCGAGGGTCACAGTGTCGTTGTAGTCACACTCCTGGCTCCTGCTGCAGCTGCAAAGGGTGAAGCGGAGCTGGAGGAGGGCAGAGAGGTTGTTGGACCCGACAGCCTCCAGGTTGATGGTGAGCGGGGCCATCTCGCGGGGCTCCCACGTCAGGGTGCCACTCTCTGCCGGGGGGAGAGGTGGGAGTTAGAGGAGGTGGCAGAGGAAAGGGGCTGGGTGGCCGGTGTCCCCCCATCCTGTCCCAGCTGTCCCATCTCTCATTCCTTACCCGATATGTTGAGCTCCGGCGAGAGGTGGGGGACAAAGCGTGCACCCACCCCCACGGCACGGTACTGCCTCCTGACCTTTTCTGTCCTGAAGGCCGTGAGCAATGCATCACCGGTGATGACCGGAGGGAAGGTGTCTGAGGAAAGAGCAGCCCAGCACACAGCTGGTTGTTTGCTACGTGGCCTTGGCACTCCTTGGCTCTGAGTCCCTCCTGGTGAGGATGGGAACCCAGGCAGATGCTTCCATGACCACCCGCCGACAAGATCCTCGTGTTGCACAGCATGGAGGGATCTCCCAGGCTTGGAGACCAGCCAGCCAGGCAATGCAACTCCGAGACCTTGGTGGCAACTATCCTGCTGGTGGCATCTCCCAGGCTCGGAGACCAGCCAGCCAGGCAATGCAACTCCGAGATCTTGGTGACTTCTCTCCTGCCTCACATGGAGCAGGAGAGCCCAGGGAGGGAGCAGGGCACTGCCCAGTTACCCAAGCCGTGTCCTCTCAGAGGTGAGGATCTGCTCCACTTACTGAGTACTGTCTTCTTCCGCTGGAAGTCGGCTGTGAGGCTCTGGGTGGCCAGGCCCAGGGCCATGTCCCCTGTGCTCAGCAAATCATAGATGCACTCCTTGCTGCCACGGCACTGCGAGGCTGCCAGCTGGTACTGGCTTTCATTCTCCTGCCGCAGCCGAGACAAGAAGATGGGTGTGAAGTTCATTACCGGTGAGTCCAGAGGCTGAGCAAACAGGCTGTGCTCTCCAACAGCCCCTGCAAGAGAGCACACCATGGGTACAGCCTTGGGTTTTTAAGGTTTGTTGTATTTTAGGGCTCATTTCCACAGAGCAGTGAGGAGACCAAAGGGCTTCCCTGGCATCACTTTTGCTCAGGCAAGTGTCTAAATGTCTCCAGCCAAAGCAAGGCCAAAAGGTGCAGGAATGGGGGGGATCATCAAGGTGGATCCCGAGCCTGGACTTACAGGTCATCCCATAGCTGTAGATCTCCTCCTCGCTGCTGTTCATAGGGATGCTGGTACCGTTCAGCATCTGGAAGTCGTTTGCAGGGTCGTGGTCCCACACACCTGGTGGAGCATTACCAGAGGACTGGAGTCCCCCATGCCAGGGTTGACCTCCTGTCTGGTGCTGGCTGGTGTTTAGTTTAGACCCAGGGATCCCTGCCCTCACAAGCATGTTCCCCCAGCATTTTCCAGCCTGCTTTAGGGTGGGAAAGGGACTTTGCACCCCAGTGCAGCAGTGCCAGAAGTCCTCACCTAGGAGGCCCTTGGTGCTGTTGCGGTACCGATCGGGCAGGCTGCAGACCACGCTGAGGATCCCGGAGACGGCCGAGATGGAGACAGCGATGGCCCCATCAAAGACGGCCGTGACAGAGGAGGCATTGACCAGCAGGACACCAGGGCTGTAGTATACCTCGGCACCCATGTCTGCAAGAGAAGGAGAGCACAGAGGGAGAGTCCACACAAGGCTGGGGTGTGAGACGATGCCACTGAATTTGGGGAGGGGAGTGCTCCCCATCCACCCTGGCCAAGTCAGAGACAGGGTGCAGGTGGGAGATGTTTGATGGAGCTCAGGATGGCTGCCCTTGCGCTGGGCAGGGCTGGTCCCTGTGGGATGGGGACACCCTTTGTCTCCCCCAGATATATTTAACATTTAACAGCACATCCTGCTCACCTTGGGAAAATGAAAACTGGATGGTTTCATTGTTCAGGAGGATTTTGATGTCACCCTGGCTCCCCAAGGTCCACTGAACCTGCAAATCACAGCAGATGTCCCAGTCAGTCCCTCTGCTCATCTCTTCCTGCCGTCCCCCCATGCTGGGGACACTCGAGCTAAACCCTGTCCTCCTCCAGCCCCAGCAGAGAGGCTCAGCCCTGGGGGCCGTGTTGGTGTGCCTTTCACCACAGCAAACACATGATAAAGCAGCTTTGATGGTTGCCCAGAAGAGGACAGCAAGCCGCCCCCTGTCACTGCTGGCATGGGGCACGCACAGGCCACCACCACTGCTTGGCTGACCGTGGCAGTGTGGAGAGCTGTGCCGGTGGGCTCCAGGCTCTGAGCCCCCTCCTCACGCTGCTCAACGGCTGCTTCTGGTGACACCAGGAGATTTTGCTTACTGAAACGGGTGTGGGGAGCAATCTGCAAAGCAAAGAAGAGTACACTTGTGCTAATGTGTCCAGAGGAGACCAGTGGTCAGGGTGAAGGGTGTGCAATGAAGAGGGTGGAGCAGACCGTGTTCCTGAAGAGCTCTAGTCCCTTGCTGGCCAGCTTGCAAGAGGTGTTAGAGCTGTGTCTCGTTAGTCTTAGTCCAACCCATTGCTTATAGCACTTTGTTGGGGTTGTGGGAGGTGGCAGGAAGAGGAGAGGGGATGCTCCTCGGGTCCTGGCCACTTGTAGGTGACGCAGAGGCGATGCCCAACCTGCCAGAGGGGTCTCCCCCGTTAGAAGCTCAAACTGATACCCAGGTCGCTCCTACTCACTGTTGTGGTGGTGGCAGAGATGTACTGGGCAGCGAAGGCCACGAAGTTGGTGGCCTGGGCCGTGCCGGTCTGGGCCGTGCGTCCGTGCAGTACGAAGCTGGTCTGGGCATCGCTGGCTAGCAGCAGGACAAAGTCCCCGAGCCCATTGAAGGTGTAGGTGAGTCCATCCAGGGTGGTGATGTGGGGGTCCCCGAAGGCGCCAGCTGGGATACAAAGGAGATGGAGCCGTTTTGGGGGGAGGAAGAAAAGCAAATGCTGGTGTCATTGCATGGAGGAGAGCAGCCCCCAGTGCTGCGCTGGTCTCAGCAGTCCCCACCGGGATGCTGCAAAGTGTGGTTAATGCACGGGGTCCACGTACGGCCATACCACCCACTCAGTACCCTGGCACAGAGGAGGTAGAGCCCTGGGGACTCACCGGGGGTGGGCGGCACATATCCCTCGCAGCCGACCCTTGGTCTCTTCTCAGCAAACCTGGCACAGAACAGGGGCTTCCCCACGTGCCGGCAGCACCAGTCGAATGCCTCCAGCTCCCCATCTGCAGAGGAAGGCAGCCGGGTGCTGGGGGTTGTCAGGGTCCCTGCTTTGCCTGCAGAGCACTTGGTGCTCAGGGTGTATTAGGGCGAGCGAGTGCCGATGCCCTCTTACCAGCAGCGTGGCGGATGGGGAGGCTCCATGCTCTCTCCTGCCAGCCTTCGAGCAAGCTCCCATCTTGGTACAGACACCGCACCCCGGCTCCAGCCGGGCTGGGGGATGCAGTGCGCAGCATCTTCACAGAGGTGTCTGCCGGGCCTGAAACGGTGTGGGGGGATCACGGCTGCCCCCAGAGCAGGAGGGGATCCCCTGCCGTCCCCCCACCCCGCGGCTGGCCCTGCGGGGATGCGCTTGGCACCTCTGCTCTGGCGGTAGCGGGGATCCAGCTCTGCCTGGGGCCGGGAGCAGGGGCATGGCGGCAGCTGGCTGTTCCAGGCAGCCGGCGCTGGCTCTGCGTCCAGCCATGCCAGGCACCGCAGCCTGTAGTTCACCCGGGAGCGACTGTCCAGTCTGTATATCCACAGCCCACGCACATCTGGGGGAGCAACCGGAGAACAGCACAGCTCAGCCAGGGTCTCGCCTTGTGCTGAGGGGGATCCCGTGGGAAAACTGTCCCCAGCCATTGACCTCACACGAGGTCTCCAGGCTCCCTCTAGAGCCGATGTGGCCGTGGCAAACCACAGCAGGACACGGGACACCTGTGCTCTGATCTCGGTGGCCAGCTCTTGCCCAGTGGCTTCACTGGTCTATTGCCTTGCAGGGACACATGCTGGGGACATGCTCCCGGCACGGAGCACACAGCTCCCTCCATCCCCACCCACCCCTAGGGCTCCCCGGGTGACATACCGGTGCCGGCGCCGCTGTGCTGGTCAGGTCGGTACTTGACAGCTGGTGGCTTTTGAGTCAGCTCATTATTTTGGGCATAGCCATCGCCGCTGTGTGGAGAGAGGAGGTTTGGGGTCACCCTCCCAACACAACCCTCCTCCGCTCCCCATAGAGCAGCTGGGGTGGGAACTGCTGCGGTTTGCAGGAGAGAGGGTTTAAATGGGACAGGGTTACTCTGGGGGTGGGAGCTGGGCTATCCTGGGGATAACGTCTCCGATGGTCCCAACATAGTGCTGGGAGAAATCCCTGCTGTCCCAAAACGCAGCCACACAGGTGCACAGCACCTGGAGAAGCCGATCAGCACGTTGCCTGCAGCCAGCTTGGCGTAGTCCCACCGCATCCCGCCATCCTGGTAGAGCAGCAGGGCGAAGGAACGGTTCCCATCGGTGGTGAGGACCGCCTGGTAGGTGCTCGTCTGGAGAAACCCAAGGCACCCCCTTAGCACCCCCAAAGCCTCCCCTGCTCTCCCCACAGCGCAGACTGGGGCAGTGAGACCTGAAACGCCCGCATCAAGCTGTGGGAGACCAGCAGCTCAGCCCTGCCCCGGCCATCGCTGGTGACAGTCCCCTCCATCACCTGGGTCTCCCACTGCTCACCCGAGTGTCATCCTGCTGGGACGGGTACGCCGGAGCCTTTTCCCACGTCACCTTCAAGGTCCATTTGGCTACGTAGGGGGTTTTCAGGTATTTTTCAATCTTTGCTTCCATGTCATGGACAAGGGGGTCTTGGGTAGAGCTGAGGGTGGAGTACTCCTGCAGGTTGGCAAGAGAGAGGGTTAAATGGGCGAGCTGGGAGCTGGGCTCTCCCAGGAGAACACCTTTGGTGGCCCCGACCTGGTACCAGGTGGTGCCAACACCCTGGGAGAAATCTGCGTCGTCCCAAAAGGCAGCCACCATCGGCAAACCCTCTTGGCCGCTGAAGCCCCGGGGAGGTGGGTTGGGGTTGGAGGGGATGTAGTTGTCCGTGGGTGGGAAAATGATCTGTCCGTTATCTGTAAACTAACCAAAATAACTCGTTATTTGCTGACATCCCAGGTAGCTCCTGGAATGGTTTTTAGCCTCCATGGGTGAGCGGAGACCAGCCATTTTAAATTGCAAAAAAATTAACATTCGGATGAAATTTGGTTTCTGCTCCATTTCCGTGGGATTTTTTCTACCAAAGAGGCTGCACATCCCTTATGTGCTTGGCGACGGGGGGACTCACGTAGAGAGCATCCCTCAGCGACTTTCCGAAGGGGAACCCAATCTCTGGCTTGAACAGAGGGGAGTTAAAGTCCACTGTCCTCTGGACGCACTCTCGGTCCCCTCCCTCCGTGCCGAAGGGGTAGAGTGAGGCTGCCGGCACTGACACGAGCAGGAGATTAATCGAAAAGGTGAGAAACCATTAATATCTGCTCCATCCTTCTTGTGGCCCATGCAAACTCGCCTGCCTGCTGCCAGGATGCTGCTGTGCCTGTGCTCCCCCCAGCCGGACCAGCGCTCTGACAACTTGTAACCCAATTTTTAACCCAGTTTTTAATTTAGAATAGGATGCTTTCAGATGTCCTATTTCACCTTTCCCCGTGAATTTGGCAGCCCAACATGCAATGCAGACGAGTCACCCTGAGCTGTACATTCAGCCATCGCAGTGCTTGGTTGGCTGACAACCCCTTCCTGCTCTTTGCTTTGGGAAGAAGAAAATCTACTTACTGATAAGCCCGCGGGTGGGTCGGGGCTCAGGGGCAGGATTTCTGTGGCCAGCAGTGGTGTGGGCAGATGTGCTTGGTGCTGTGACCTGTTCCCTCTGTGTCCCAAAGGCAGGAGCTGGGGTGGTGGCAGGGCTGGTGGTGGCTGGTGGTCTGCCCGGTGCCACGGTGCCTGGGGCTGGGAGACCTCCCGTCTCCTTGGCTGGGCTCACTGGGGCTGTGGGTGCAACAGCCATGGTGCTCCCTGCAGTGATGGCCGTGGTGCTGCCTGCAGTGATGGCCGCGATGCTGCCTGTAGTGATGGTTGTGGTGCTGCCTGTAGCGATGGCTGTGGTGCTGCCTGCAGTGA